GGGGACTGGGGGGATTTGGGGACGTTGGGGGGATTTGGGGACATTGGGGGGGTGTGGGGACATTGGGGACATTGAGATGATTTGGGACATTGGGGACGTTGAGGGGATTTGGGGACGTTGGGGACATCGGGAGGATTGGGGACATCAGGGGGATCTGGGGACATCGAGGACATTGAGGAGACATTGGGGACATTGGGGGTATTGGGGACATGGGGACATGGTGGTGATTTTGGGGACATTGTGGTGATTTTGGGGACATTGGGGGGATTTGGGGACACTGAGGACATCCAGGGAATTGGGGACATCGGGGCCAGGTTCCCTCGCACACCGTGGCAGAGCCGGGGACACCTCGGGGACACCCATGGGACACCCTGGTGACACCCAGGGGACACCCCGGGGTGGCCGTGTCCCTGTCCCCACCTCGGTGACGTTCTTGCTGACGCGTGTCCCCATGTCGTAGCGTTCCTCGTCCACGCGCGCCACGCGGGCGTGCAGCTCCCGGCACAGCTCCTGGGACACCCATGGGACACCCATGGGACACCCGGGGACACCCGGGGGACACCCATGGGACACCCATGGGACACCAAGGGACATCCATGGACACTCGGGGACACCCAGAGACACCCGGGGACACCCATGGGACACCCGGGGACACACAGGGGACACCCGGGGACACCCATGGGACACCCGGGGACACCCAGGGACACCCATGGGACACCCAGGAACACCCGGGGACACCCATGGGACACCCGGGGACACCCAGGGAACACCCATGGGACACCCATGGGACACCAACGGGACACCCAGGGACAGCCATGGGACAGCCATGGGACAGCCAGGGACACCCAGGGACAGCCATGGGACAGCCATGGGACAGCCAGGGACACCCAGGGACACCTAGGGACACCCAGGGGACACCCAGGGACACCCAGGGACACCCAGGAACACCCAGGGACAGCCATGGGACACCCAGGGGACACCCAGGGACACCCAGGGGACACCCAGGGACACCCAGGGACACCCAGGAACACCCAGGGACAGCCATGGGACACCCAGGGGACACCCAGGGACAGCCATGGGACACCCATGGGACACCCATGGGACACCCGGGGACACCCAGGGGACACCCAGGGGACACCCAGGGACACCCGGGGGACACCCAGGGGACACCCAGGGACACCCATGGGACACCCGGGGACACCCAGGGACAGCCATGGGACACCCATGGGACACCCGGGGATACCCTGGGACACCCAGGGACACCCGGGGACACCCAGGGACACCCGGGGACACCCAGGGGACACCCAGGGACACCCATGGGACACCCAGGGACACCCAGGGACACCCAGGGACAGCCATGGGACACCCAGGGACACCCGGGGATACCCATGGGACACCCAGGGACAGCCATGGGACAGCCATGGGACACCCAGAGGACACCAACGGGACACCCAGGGACAGCCATGGGACACCCGGGGACACCCGGGGGACACCCAGGGACAGCCATGGGACACCCGGGGACACCCAGGGGACACGGCGCTGTCACCAGAGCTGTGTGACATCCCCGGTGTCCCCGCCATGTCCCCACCGTGTCCCCAAGGCTGTCCATGTCCCTGTGTCCCTGATGTCCTCGATGTCCCCCCAGTGCCACCATTGTCCCCTCACATCCCCCCAGTGCCACCATTGTCCCCAGTGTCCCCCAGTGCCACCATTGTCCCCTCACGTCACTGTCCCCAGTGTCCCCTCACCTGCAGCTCTATCACCTCCAGCCCTTTTTCCCCTCATGTTCCCTCCATTTCCCCCTCACATTTTCCCCATTTTTCCCCTCACATTTTCCTCCATTTCCCCCTCACATTTCCCCCCTTTTTCTCCCTCACCTTTCCTACCCTTTTCCCCTCATATTTCTCGCCCTTTTTTCCCCTCACATTTTCCCCTTTTTTCCCCTCACATTTCCCTCCATTTTCCCCTCACCTTTTCCAAACTTTCCCCCCTCTTTTCTCTCCTCACATTTTCCCCATTTTTCCCTTTACTTTTTCCTACATTTCCCCCTCACATTTCCCTCCATTTCCCCCTCACATTTTCCCCTTTTTTCCTTTCACATTTTCCCCTTTTCCCCCTCACATTTCCCTCCATTTCCCCCTCACATTTTCCCCTTTTTTCCTTTCACATTTTCCCCTTTTCCCCCTCACATTTCCCTCCATTTTCCCCTCACATTTCCTGCTCTTTTCTCTCCTCACACTTCCTGTCATTTTCCCCTCACGTTTCCCTCCATTTTCCCCTCACCTTTTCCACACTTTCCCCCCTCTTTTCTCTCCTCACATTTTCCTCCATTTTCCCCTCACATTTCCCCCTTTTTCCCCCTCACTTTCCCCCCTCTTTTCTCTCCTCACATTTTCCTCCATTTTCCCCTCACATTTCCCCCTTTTTCCCCCTCACTTTCCCCTCTTTTCTCTCCTCACGTTTCCCACATTTTTCCCTTCACATTTTCCCCATTTTTCCCCATTTTTCCCTTCACATTTCTCACCATTTCCCCCTCACATTTTCCTCCATTTCCCTCTCACACTTTCCCCTTTTTTCCCCTCACATTTTCCTCCATTTCCCTCTCACATTTTCCCCTTTTTTCCTCTCACATTTTCCCCTTTTTTCCTTTCACATTTTCCCCTTTTTTCTCCTCACATTTCCCTCCATTTCCCCCTCACATTTCCTGCTCTTTTCTCTCCTCACACTTCCTGTCATTTTCCCCTCATGTTTGCCTCAATTTTCCCTTCACCTTTTCTACACTTTCCCCCCTCTTTTCTCTCTTCACACTCCCTGCCATTTTCCCCTCACGTTTTTCTGACGTTTCCCCCTCACATTTCCATTTTCCCCTCACGTTTTCCTCCATTTTACCCTCACATTTCCATTTTCCCCCTTACATTTTCCCTTTTTTCCTCACATTTACCCTCACATTTTCCTCCATTTTCCCCTCACATTGTCCCATTCCCCCCCCCATTTTCCCATTTCCCCTCACATTTCCCCCGTTTTTCCCCTCACATTTCCCACCCCCCCCTCACATTTCCCCAATTTTTCCCCTCCCATTTCCCCATTTTCCCCCCACATTTCCCC